CACTCAGAAAACCAGAAGTGGCCCAGTGGCTCAAGTGGTAGAGCACTAACCTTGAGCTGAAGAGCTGAGGGACAGCGTTCAGGCCCAGAGTTCAAGTCCCATGACAAAAAAAAAAAAAAAAAAAAAATTCAGAGGGGGGAGGCTGGGAAGGGATGGGAAGGGTAAACAAAGGAGGAGGCTGCAATGCTTGGTAAGAAATGTACGCATTATCCTGCCCATGCAATTGTAACCCCTCTGTACAGTATGTTCACAAATAAAATAAAATAAAATTAATTAAAAAAATTCAAATATGACTAAAAGTTACTCATTTTATCCTAGAACAATTAATGAACTAGATCAAATTTCTGAAGCAGGCACTGAAGAGTTCTGTGATGCAGGATACAAGCACAGCTAGAAAGATCACATTCTAAGCCAATGATACTTGCCTACTTCCAAGTTTTGACAAATGGGTACCATTAGGTAGATATCTCAGCTTCTGCCTTGCATTCTTGAGTGCTGATTCATCACCTTCCCACAGGATCCTCTTATCCTCAGACACTTTCTAGTTCAGGACAGAGCTGCACCCAGATCAAGCCTAAATCTTCTGACTCTAACATACACTACTTCTTTTTTTTTTGGGGGGGGGGGTCCAGTCGTGGGGCCTGAACTCTAGGCCTGGGCGCTGTCCCTCAGCTCTTCAGCTCAAGGCTAGCACTCAACCACTTGAGCCACAGCGCCACTTGTGGCTTTTTTTCTTTTTTGCTTATGTGGTGCTTAGAATCGAACCCAGGGCCTCAGGCATGCAAGGCAAGCGCTCTACCACTGAGCCACCTTCCCAGCCCCACACTACTTCTTCTTAAAGCCACCTAATTCACATAGATCTGTGTTCTCAATCATAGCTGGATCTAGTCACCTAGGAAATACTGAAACATCCATGCTGTTTTAGGTTCTCCCAGGCAATAAGTGCGAACATGACCTCTTCTTGCACCAAGACCACATAATACCTAACCAGCACTTCCTGTGCAGAGCTTTGTGCTAGCACTTCCATATGTAATTATATATAAAAATGCATTTAAACTCCAACATCCTAGAACAAGGATTCATATTTGATACAGCTTTCAGGTTACCACAAGGTCAATGATTAGAATTACATTTTACAATTACATTTTAAATAGATAGATGTAGAGGAAATATAAGTAGGATTAAGTGGTAGAGTACCAGCCCTGAATACAAGAGCCAAGTGAGAGAGAGGGGCCCTGAGTTTAAGCCCCAGTACCAGTGTGGTTATACACTCTCGTGTGCGTGCGTGCGCACACACTCGTGCACACGCACGCACACACACACACACACACACACACCAACTATGGATGTACAAATAAAATTTCACTATTCTTGAAATAAAGCATTCAAAATTGTGGTTGGAAATAAAGGTACCAACATACAGATAACTAATCTCAATTTAACAAGTCAAATATTAAGTTCGACTTGCATTATGTCTTATCTAGTGCATAGGGGAAAACTTATTCCAAAGAAAGGAACCAACATAAAAATGAAGCTGATACACTGAAGCTGATACAGGACTGACCACTTTTGTTTTCTGGTGGTCCTGCCTTTCCCTCCTCCTTCCGTCCAACTCACTTGAGAGTAATCTAATTAGATTGCATTGTATTATTTGATGCTTTCATACAATAAATAGAAACTGTAATCTATTAATTTACCAAATTCATCATCTATCTCTTACTACTCACTGTAAAACTATATTAATTTACCAAATTCATCATCTACTCTTACTACTCACTGTAAAACTATATTCTATCATGGAAAGTCTTCCCTTAGTCCTAGTAGAACATCCTTCTTCTGTTGTCCTCTAGCATTTGGAAATAATATGCCTTTGAAAAATAAAGTACCATTTTATTTACTCCCCTACAGTTCTCTCATCTGTGTAACTCTGTTGTCTTTTTATATAAGATAAGTCACATATCAGTGGATAAATGTTACAGAATGACGTGGGAAAGGAGTTCTAGTTTGATTATCTGCACAAATCAGTGATTTGATCTCTATCCAGTTTCAGACTCTATTAAAATGAAGGATCAAATGCTGGGCACTGGTGGCTCATGCCTGTAATCCTAGCTACTCAGGAGGCTGACATCTGAGGATCATGGCTCAATGCTAGCCAGGGCAGGAAAACCAGTAAGATTCTTCAATTACCAAAAAAAAAAAAAAAAAAAAAAAGCCAGAAATATAGCTGTGGCAACAGTGCTATCCTTGAGCCAAAAAAGCTCAGAGACAACACCCAGGCCCTGAGTTCAAGCCCCAGGACTAGCAACAAAAAAAAAAAAAAAGGAAGGATCAAATAAGAAACAAATGAAAAGCACTTGTAATTAACATTTAGATCCATGTATAGAAAAGAATAATTTCTAAGTAATGAGTTTCTTCTTCCATGCAAGAGTTTCTTTACACAGTTTGATATTTAAGAATAAGGACAATAAATGACTGTGTAGAGTTTGTTTTAAGTAAAATATGTCCTCATGAAGAATTAAGTATTCACAAATAATCCTAATTTTAACACAAGGTAATATCTGACTGTGCACAGAAAAATAACTAAATATTCATAACTACAGATAATTGAATGTTAAGGAAATTTTGAGACCTATTATATTAAGTAGGTATCCTGTGTTTTACTCTCTAAGAAAAACTTTGGCCCAGAATAGAATGCATATGAAAAGATCTGAGTAAGGTCCATTCTCAGCTTCTAGTCCAATTCTACTCAAAATCTCAAATGCAGTTATTGGTTAAAAGAAAAAAAAGTCACCTCCGCAATGAAATGCAGAAAAAAATGTGATTTGGCCTTGGAAAGGTATTTTTTTATTAGTCTTTCAAGATAGTGCTATCCAACACACTGGTAAACCACTTCAAATAAAGTAACTTTTTGAAGGCAGATTAGCATTAACTGGTACTACAAGAGAAATTCCTTAGGCTACATAAAGGTAGCAGTGTATCTGAGGTAAGAAAAATAAAACTACCTAAAAATCAGGCAACTCAGAACCAAATGATGTTCTGAAATTTCTAACCAACACTGTGATCTGACAACATGTAAAGAAAAATTTAAGCAGAGCATAGAAAAAGTGTTAAATCAGCCAGTCAAAAAGTGAACTGGTTACAGGGTCTCCTGCAACTAACCAGTGTTTAGTTACTATGATGAAACTCTATACTGGTATAATCTATTGGACCCCTTGCAGGTAGCGAATCCAAACCATGGCCTCCTGCCACTTTTAACAGGCGGCAGCTATCACTTTCCTAACCAGACCCATTCCTTGCACTAACAGATGAGTAGGCTATACAAACAATTTTAACCTTGTATTTTTATTCGGAAAATTGTATTTGACTAAGACAAAGTAAAATCATATAATTACATTATTTGCAAAGGTTAATGACTAAATGCCTTTATAATTGAGCATAAACACTTGTTTACAGGGATCACCTTAATTACACTTTTCAAGATAAAATAAGAAAAACAATGAAATGTAACTAGCACTACTTTTAAACCAACCAAAACTTTTCATTTTTCCTTTTCCCTCTGATAGCTTTGTCTAATTATAATTTGTATTATATGGTATTACCAGGTGCCACATAATTCCAATTATCAAACTCAAGAGACCAAAGCTCTGGATCTTACTGTAAATAACTATTTACAACTACCTTGATTTTTGACCCTTCAAGAAATTTTGAGTGTCAAAATATTGTTTTTCTCGAGAAACCTGACTGACAGCAAGACTGACCCTTCTTGCTACCCTTTTATCTACTTTGAAACTCAAAAGTTGGAGAAGTCCCTGAAAAAAAATCCGATAGTAGATTCTAAACGTTCTGTACAAAAAAAGATACGTCCAACACACATCATGAAATTGGATGAAAGAACATCAGATGGCAAGTACACAAAGTATGTTAGGGTCAGAGAAGTGCCCTTAAAGTTTCTGAAAATAAGAAACTGCTTCAGTAAAAAGGCAAAACTATGTCGTATCAAAAATGAGTAGCACCAAATGCAATTTGGCATCTACATATAAAATTACTCCCTGATATGTTTTGCGATGCAAAGGGATAGCTCTTCCCCATGTGGATGGCATAAAGCAATATTCCAAAAAGAACAGAAGCATCTTCCAAATACAGGATAGAAAAGTAGACGACGCTTCTATGAAGCTCTAGAATCAGAACAAGAATCTTTGCCACTTGAACTAGGTGAATCGGAAAAGTTGAAGTCTTCTGAGAACAGCCTGGAAACGCAAATTCCATTAGTTTCTTGCCTGACTTCTGAGCAGGCCCCAAAGGGCTCCGGAACCCCTAAAAGCTACCCACGAAATCCTGGCGTCTTCATCCCAGGATTCCCGTCTATGTGGTGCATTTACTTAGCCTGTGACATTCTGGGGACTCGGGCCGCGAAGGAGAAAGCGCCACAGCCCGAGACACACAGCGGAAACGGGAGCCTTTCCGTCCAATGAACACCGCCCCACAGCCCCGACCTGCAGCGACGCCAGCACTCACCCCCTGCGCGCCTGCGAAGCCCGGACTCGCGCTCTCGCAAGCTCTAAGTCGCGGCAAGCTTGCTCGCCCGCACCCACAGGAAGCTCGGCCCGTCACTTCACAAGTTTCCCGTGGAGTCTGGGCGCAGCCATCTTGCCAGACGGGGAGGACCTGCGCCCAAAGGTCCCTGATGTGGCTGCCCTGAGCGAAGCCGCAACTGAAGGGGGACACGGAAAGGCCGTTTCCCGGCCTCTCACACTGCCACCACAGCCAGGAAAAAAACAACTTAAAACCTCAATTCGCCGACGAGGCTCAAAGGAAGTGAACTTTCCTCCAAAGCGTTCCCGGCTTTTCAGGCAGCGTTGAGGGCAGCAAACAGCTGCCGGGGGCGGGGCGTCGTGGCGGCGCGCGCTCGGTAACCCCAGCAACGCAGTCCCGGCCTTCAAGCGGGGCGACCGAGGTCCGCGTCACGCCCCCGGGCTGTTTTCGTTTTCCTACCGTACCCTGCTCCGACCTTTATCCTCCAGGGGCGAGGCTCCCCGGCTGAGGCGACCGGAGGCTATTCGCCCCAAGGCCCAGATAGGCCACCGCTGAGGCTTCCCACGTGAGCCCGGGGCGTCCCCGTGGAGCGGGCGGGAGGGCGGGCGCCTCCCCGCGCTGGCTTAGCTGCCCGCGGCCCTGCCTGCTCCCGCCTCTCCAGCGTGGAGGGCCGCAGCCCGCCGTCAGCGGACGTCAGCTGTGGGATATCTAGGCCCGGTACCCTCAGGCCAGGAAGCCCAGACTGCCCTGCTGCATTTCATGCGTGGTTTTGCAATAGGTCGAAATTTCTACTGGCTTAAACCCGGGACCTACGCAAAGAGGACCCGTTTGTTTTTGTTTTGGAGGTTTGGGTTCAGGGTTAGTTTCCTTTCTCCCTCCTCCCCCCCCTCCCCTTCCAAAATGGCAGCCTCCAGTCGCGCACAAGTGTTAGACCTGTACCGGGCAATGCTGAGAGAGAGCAAGCATTTCAACTCCTACAACTACAGGTGACCCTGCGAGCGGCGGGGGTCGGGAGGGCCGAGGGCTCGGGCTTGAACTCGCCAAGTCCTCAGGAGTTGCGGAGCCACGGATAGTCTCCGGCCGCTGGGGAGGGGATCCGGTTCCGCCACCGAAACGCCAGCCCCTGCCCCACGGGCGTGTTCCTCCGAAACCTCGTGGGGAGGCGCGGAGGACTTACCCTTCCTCTGGCCACGGTAGCGGTTCAGATCCTCTGACACGTCCCCAAAGTTGATGCTTTGGTTCATTGATTTGTATCATGTCTCCACGGTGTGGAAGGATGGAAGTGAACGTTGCGGGTTGAAGTTAGGACCGGCGTGTTGCACGCTTAAAACTTCGCTCGAGGAGGGGAAGACTTGAGAATGCAGCTAGCCGTCAGTAACAAGCGGCTTCCAAGTGGAAGGTTTGCTTGAGCGCTCCCTAAAGGAGCCACAGATTGAGACTGTGCCTCTGTAAAGAGTAGGTCTCAGAGTGAGTAAGAAGTGTAAACCTCTCATGCACTACATCTCATTTTCAGAAACTTGCCTAAAGTGTAGCCTTTCTATAAATTTGAGAACGGCATCAGGTGTTGATCATATGCAACCTGGCTATGTAATGAAAAGAAACAATTGGGAGAACTTGATTTTTTGTAAGTGATGTTGGCTTTGGAAGATAAAGGATATAACCACTAAGCATACTGGTGGCATTTTTGACAGATACCTATTACTAAGTATGTAATTGTTACGAGAACCTACAAAGTATGCAAGTAATTGCAAACTGATCATTTTTCGTCACAATCTAGAAGATAGTTTGTCACTTTAATTTTCCCAATCTTTACCTTCTAGGAGGCCTACCACACATCAACCAATAATCCCTGGGCATTGTGCAAGCCTGTTTTCACAGCTACACTGGGAGAGTAGATGGAAAGATGGAGGCTCAGTCTGGCTTGGGCAAAAGGAAGACCCTATTAGGAAAAAGCAAAAAGAAAAAAGGCTTGGAGTGTGACCCAAGTGGGAGAGTTTTCTACCTAGCAAGCCAAGCCCTTGAGTTCAGTACTGCCTCCTCCCCTCCCCAAAAAAAAGAAAAAAGAAAATGGCCAAAATAAACAGGGTCAGCAGGCAGTTTACATTAAAGAACCAGGGACTTGGGAGAGAGTATATGTGACAGCAGTTTGAAGAAAAGACAAGTAGCCCTCACAAATTACATAACCTACAGAAGTCATTCGACTTCTGTGTTTCTGGGGGTTTTTGTTCATAAAAACTAAGCCAGTGGGAAGTGGCACTGTGGCTCAAAGTGGTAGAGCAGTAGCCTTGAGTGAAAAAGCTCAAGAGCAGTGTCCAGGCCCTGAGTTCAAGTCCCACAACTGACCTAAATAAATAATAATAATAAGCCAGTGTACTAGGTAGCCTCTAAGGACTCTTCCACTTATAAACTTTCATCTAGAAATGAATCAGGAGTCAGTAAGGCAGAAATTTTTCAAATGAATAAATTCTAAGTTGACAGTAGTTCATGACAAAATCAAAGCTGTATCTAATAGGAAAATTGGAAATGAGTTTTAGTACAGATTTAGAAAGTAATTGGGTATATTACTTTTGAGTCTGTTCTTTCCAGCTAAGTTCACTATCTAAATATAAGTAAAATATCCAAAGTAATATGGTAGTCATTTTTCACTCTTACCTGAACTCATGTATGTAAAACACAGGATTTCTGACAATATCTCCCAATATAATAACCTGTTTATAAGACATGTCTTTCTTAAATAATAAAGTAGTGTCCTGTGGTGTTCAAAGTTGGCTCTTTCCCTCCACACTCAGACATTATTGGTCATTGTGTACCACTACTTTGTACATTATATCTACTAAGTAGCACATGTATTTGTTTCTTTTTTTTTTTTGTACCACTACTAGGGCTTGAACTTAAAGCCTGGGTGCTGTCCCTTAGTTTTTTCATTAAGGCTGGCACTCTACCACATGAGCCACAGCTCCCCTTCTGGCTTCTTGCTGGTTGATTGGAAATAAAGAGTCTCACAGGCTCCTGCCTAGGAAGGCTGGCTTTGAATCACAACCCTAAGATCTCAGCCTCTTGTGTAGCTAGGATTGCAGACATGAGCCGTCAACACCAGGCTAACCCATTTTATTTTTACAGCAACCTTGTGAATTACTATTTTAATGGCCCATTATGAAAAATAATTTTTCAAAAGTTATGCCTGTCATACCATCTACTCAGGAGGTTGACATGAAAGGGTCTCAGTTCTAGGTCAGCTTGGTCAAAGAAAAAAGGCAAAACTCCATTTCTACAGAAATGGCTGTTAGTGGTGATATGGATTCAGCTACAGTGGAAATTGTAAATAGGAGGATTATGGTCAAGGCTGGCCCAGGCACAAAGCAATACTCTTATCAAAAATATCAAGCAACAGGGTACAGTGGCTTGTGCCTATAATCCTAGCTACTGAAAAGACTGAGATCTGAGGATTGATTTTAGAGCTAGCCCAAGAAAGAAAGTTTGTGAGATTCTTATTTGTAATTAACCACCAAAAACCAAGAAGTAGAGCTGTAGGCTGATTGGTAAAGCACTAGCTGAATGGTAAACCACTAGCCTTAAGGGAAAAATGTTCAGGGACAGCACTCACGCCCTGAGTTAAAGCCCCAAGACTGACACACACATATATAACACACACACACACAGAGGTAGAGTTCATGCAAACATGAAGCCTTGAGTTCAAATCCCAGTACTCTCAAAGAGAGAAAAAGACTACTGTGCAGTTTGAACCAACCTGAAAATGTTGATACCTCCCATAATTGCCTTGATTAAATAGATATTTTGGGATTATCTTCTAAGACCCACATATAGGCCACATTTTTGTAGATCCCTCTGCTTTTCCATTTTCCAGTTTGATCTTGCCCTCTGCCCTGGTCACTTGCACTTTATTTCATGCCATGTCCTCATGGGCCTCCAGGCCTTTACAAGTACTATTCTGTCTGCCATATCCTTTGTCACCCTTTTCCAGAGTGTCTGTCCTTTCTTCAAGAGTCTGTTTAATCATGACCTTCTTTATGAATTTTTCTTATTTTCCCCATTCCATTTCCCCAGCCCAAACCCAGGCAGACTCCATTACTTAGATGTGCTTCCAGAAACTTCTGAATCTTACTTTGTTCAATGCTCTACCAGGTCCTAAAGACAGAAAGATATGAAAGCTTTGGGTTTAGCAAAGCATATGCTGTCACGATTTCATCACCTTGTATAGGACACAGCTGTGGAGGCAGCTTTTGCAGACTTTGTTATGTGCTGGGATAGAAGTAAGCATCTGTGTAGAATCAGAAAGCTGAGAGTAGACTTAAGCTATCAAGCAGCATCATAATCTCAGGTAGCAGCAAACAAACAGTACAATGTTTCTGGAGAGTTGGTTGTCAAGTACAGAGACAGCCAACAAGACTGAGCTGGAAAGTGCCATGCAGGAAGGCCACAATTAAGAAATACGGATTTGTTTGCTGACAGTAGCCACTAAAGAGGTGGAAGCTGGAAAATTAAGTGGTGGATTTGCATTTGAGATAAGATTGGTCTAACAGTCTCATCTGGACAAATCTCTAGTGGGAGTAGATTAATATGATGCAAAGTAGACATTTGACCCTTAATCCAAACAGGCATCATGGGAGGAAAGCAGATATATTTTGCAAGTAGGAAGTGAAATTGTTAGAATGCTATTTGGATGAGATAGAGTCTAGACTGCCATGCTGGTAAAGTTAAGGCACAAGAAGGGTAATAAATACCAAACTCTACTAATGCAGAATACAGAAGTAGCTGGTCTTGTGAAGCAAAGAATTTGAGCTCACTTTGGGGTGTCCTGAGTTTCCTTTTATCCCTGATTGAATCTAGAGCTTCCTAGACACATCACCTGGGACAGCTAAGGGTTGGTGAGCAACACATGTTTCACTTCACTGGCTGATTTATTTTCCTTTTTTTGCTGTTTTTGTCTGTTTCATGATGCTGGGGATCAAACTCAGGACCTATACTCACACACATATGCTATATACCCAGCTTATTCCTAATAAGATTATTGGGGATTCCCATCCCACCCCAGGTTAAATAACATTACTTTTCCTCTTTTTTAACTCTTGAAATAGTGCCTTTGATACATATGTCTATCATGAGGTATCAAAGAGCCTGTAGAATTACATTTTATGTGGCCAAATAAAGGGTTTTATTCACTGTGAAAGGTTAAACAAATCATATATATTTTGGTGAGAACACATTTAACTTTTGTTAGATATGTAAGAACATGGTGAAAGGAAGGGAAAAATAAAAGAGGAAAAAGATTGCTTTGTTAGATTTTCTAAGTTCTTCACAAATTAAGTAGTAACATTTGATCTAAATTTATTTGTTGGACTTATTTGTAGCCTGTGGCACTGTGTTAGAAAGAAGCCTTGTTCCTGAACCTTTCCACAGTGCCCCAAAGGCAGCTACAGGCAGTTCATGTATGCCTCAAAATAGCTGCTTAGACTTTTGAAAGATTAGTCATTATCATTAAATGTGCACAGAATTTTTAAAGTGTTTTTTCTCAGAGTTACTAGCTCTGTTCTGCTGAATGATACTGTGAAAATAAGTAAAAATTCATTTAATGAACCTTCAGAAAACATTTACGACATTTAGGCTGAGAAAATTGTATTCAGGCATCTGACTGAATCTGGGGGTGAAAAGTAACATGTTTCTTTCTCTAGATATAGAAGGAAGTTTATGATTACTAAGTCTGTGCTATTGTTGGTTTTGTAAGTTAGTTTACAGGAGCTTCCCAGTTGTATTTATTCTATCTACTACTCCACTTTGGCCCCTAAAGATATGAAAAAAAATTGTGCAGTAGCCACACAAGGTGGCTCACACCTGTTATCCTAACTAATCAGGATGCTAAGATCTGAGATTCAAAGTTCGAAGGGAGGAAAGTCCTAAGACTCTTACCTTCAGTTAACCAGCAAAAAATTCAGAAGTGGGAAAAAAGCAGAGACAGTGCCATGTCCTG